TCAAATCTCAATATATTTTTTGTTTAAGTTGTCAACTCAAGCAAAACACGCATAATATCTATACAATTAACTATTAAATTTAAAATGAAAAACAACTCTTAGTGAAACAATAAAATAAAAGCAGCTTCAACTTCAACGTACAATTTTTTATCCTGTCAAAACACAAAACTCTCTCATTTAACAACAAATACAAGAAGAACAACCACAGCAGCAGCAAGCCAGCAACAACCACAACAACATCCAACACACAACAACAACAACAACAACAACAAAAACAAAAACACAACACAGCGTCTACTAAAATTAAAAACAAAACAATTAACCCAAAAATACAAAAAAAAAGAAGAAAAAATCAAGACTTTAAAAACTATATCTGAAAAATGAAAATCTTTTCACTGCTACTACTAAAAAAGAATACACTGTATTATACAACAACAACAACAAAAACAACATCAACAAATACAAAGAAACATTGTGTATTATATGACAAAGTACCACAACAAAACCACCACCAACAACAACAACAAGAACAACAATCAAGCCAGCAACAACAACAAGCAACAGAGCCAAACAAAAAAGCCTGCCAAAAGAATTTTTAAGCAAATAGTTTAACAAAACGCAGCAGCAACCACTAAGTGCAGCAGCAACAACAACAACAACAAATCTCAGTCCAAAAGAATACAACAGCCAGTACAACAACAATAACAACTACAACTACAACAACAACAACATAAAAACCACGATGAAAACAGCTTTTTGCTCGCACTGTACAAAAAAACAAAACAAATATAAAAATAAATTAAAATAAAAAAAAAAACTGCGCGCAAACAAGTAAAAAAAAATCACTAACAAAACTAACTGCTAACTTCTAATTAGTTTTTATTTTTTATTTTGTTTTTTGTTTTGATTTTATGTTTTCACATTTGTTTTTCTTTTTTCACGGCAGTGTTGAAAAAGGTAGTTAACAATAACAACAACAACAGCTACAATAACAACAGCTACTACAACAACAACAACAACCACACACGGAACCACCTAAAAAAAAAAGAAATGAAACCTCGTTCTAATATATATAAGCGCCCACTAACAGCCAAAAATGCCAATGCCACAGCGTTGCCATAGCTAAGTAGCTCTTCCCCCCATTAAAAAACAAAACAAAAAAACCACCGCCCGCCTGCCTGCCCGCCCGCCTGAACTACCCAACTTAACTAACTTACTTGCTTTACTTAACCCATCAACAAACCAGAAATGAGAAAAATACTAAACAAGAAAGGAGTAGAACTATTACTACTACTATTACTACTACTATTTTTGTTGTGTGTGTCAGTTCCAGAACAGAAAGAAACCCAAAAAAATAAAACAGAAAAAAAGTATATATATATTCCCTCAGTTTGAAAAACAACAACAACAACAACTACTACTACTACTACTACTACTATTACTACTACAACAACAGCTACAACAACAACAGTTATGCAACTAAAAAAAATATAGAAAAATGCACCAAATTTAAGCAAAAAGTCAAAAATACAAAAAATATATATTCAATTTTATGCAAATCTATACAAAAAATTCAAAAACCAAACCACGAAAATGCAAGCAATATATTTATATATATATATATATATGTCTATATATCAAAACTCTATATCTGGGCAGGACTAAGCATCACAACAAAAAAAAGAAAAAAATACAAATGCAAAACTCGCAGACAAGAAAAAATATACTACAAATAAAATGTTGCAAGAATTCAGTCTATGTCTTCTCACTGTCTCTCTCTATTTCTCTCTCTCTCTCTCTAAATATATATATATAGTATATATCTCTCTCTCTTTCACAATCTCAAAATCACAACAAAAAAAAAAAAAATAAATAAAAATACAAACAAAAAAAACCCAACACTATTCTACTATCTATCTCTATCTCGCTTGTGTTTGTCTGTGTGCAGGGATGCATGGCACGGGCAGCGACGCAGACGCAGACGGACTCACGAGAATTGTTGTTGTTGGACTTGATCATGATTATACTACAGATGATATTTATATTGATGATGATGATGATGATGATGATGGTGATGGTGATGTTGATGAGGACACCGTGGGATCTAGAATGGATACGGATTTGGATTTGCAAACGCTTTTGGATACGATTCAAGCTACAACGACTAGTACAATTACCAGAACTGCTAGTACTACGACAACAGTTACTACAGCCCCAATAAGTAGTCGCTATAGAACGTACAATTTGAACAGATCCTTGAAATGTTGTTTGAGCGCCGTACGCTGACAAGTTTTTGAATTTTTTGCATAAAACTGAAACTGAACTAAATCCAAGATAAAAATGAAGCGATTTTTCGACGCTAATCGTGTTATCGTGTTATCGGAATCGAATGTTGCCCGATTGTGGTTGTTGCTGTGCCTGATGTTGATCAAAAATCCGACGAGAGTTGAAGCTAGCCTCAGAAAATAACAATTTGCCAGAGAGAAAACTGAAGAAAAAAAAGCATAAAAGAAAATAAAATAACGAAATAATAATTGAATACAATTTACGTTTTGGAATTATTCACCTATATATATATATATATATACTTATAAATATATAAATGTATAGCTTATATATATAATTTTTGTTCTGTATATCATACCATGAACCACAAAATTCAAATCAAGCTTCAATTTTATTTAATTAACAATTTTGTATTGACAAAATCGTAAAAACAAGAAAAGTATATATATAAATAAAAGCATAAAACATTTACCATTGGGATCTGTTCAAAGTTATGTGACTATATATGAGCTCTATATGATCGATCTTTGGGGCATGTAGAGAAGTTGTGTATACGGCCCGTTGGTATTAGTCGGTCGATAAATATGTAGTTCGAACGGTTCACAAAAAAAAAAAGATAAATCTGAAAGAAAAAAATGATTCTTGTGCACCGTTTGATTTCCCAAATGGAGAAAACGAGAGCGCGCTTCTCCAGAGAAACGGCGACGTCGACGAACGTCGCTAATTATCACACACACACACAGCTACTACTACTGTGACGGAGGTGAGTCAGTTGAAGCACTCTATACTAAATATAACTACTACCTACCAATACAATTTACATAGTTTGTAAGTGCAAAAGTCTTGACTTAAGGCCCCCTCTATCTGTCTATCTCGAAAGAGCATATTTTAAGCAAAAACCATAAACTTTAAGTGTGATGTAAATAGTAGCACATAAGATCGATATGAATGTCAAGTTTTATTCAGTTTCAGCGCTTGTATTTGAAAGTATTTAAACAGTTTTTCGACTAGGATAGCCCAAAACGAGTCAAAAGTTCGACTACTCTAAGGCTTCTCTGATGAATGGCAGAATATTTGAAAACTTTGCAATAACCAGCTTCACAGCTTCTCATATTCATTATGTGAATGATTCAATGTCAACTAATCGAAATTCATTACAACATTTGTACGTTTGCTTAACGAGCAACTTAGTTTGTGGTTCATGGTAACTATATTCGCTTTTTTCCTATAGTATTTGCCGATTTATCAATTTTGACTATGTTTGTCTATGTTGCCAGCTCAATTGTCAGTCGATTAACTTTGACTATGTTGCCTTAAAAGTCTCCAATATTCGAATGCAAGACATTAGCCCACTTATCCATAAATGACTATAAAAAAAAGATACTTTAATTTTTATTTATTCAATTGTCGCGCGTGTTTTAATGAAGCACTCGTAGAACAGGTTCTAAACATAAGCAACTCGTTGGGGACCCAGCCAAAACAAGCTGCAATCATTGGGGTCGAATCAGATTTTGTTTCGAATCGTTTCTATGCTGGTCAAATGGCCCTGAAAACAACTTGCTGGAGCGTGTGATCTGAGCAATAAGTTAAGCGAAAAAGGCCTTTAACGATTGTTAAATTGTATGTGCAGTTGCTGTCGCTGTTGCTGTCGATAGCCGCTAGGTGTCGCTCAGGTGCCCCAAATTGTGACAACTGATTGAAATCGCATCATTTATTTTAGCTTTCATCTCTGTTTTTTTTCTTTTTGGAACTCTGCATTGTTTTTTATATGCTGATTTATTTCATGTTCGCTCTAATTGCATAAAACAAACCGCAAAATATTGTTAGCATTTCATTCAATTTGGCTTAGAGTGTTTCGCTTGTCATAAATTAATCCACTACGAAATCGCGTTATATAAGAATTTAAAATTCAACGCGACGAATTTGCGAGTTTTGTTTTTTTTTTTTTTATGGGTTTGTACTACTGACCTGCCGCAAAACTCAAATGAAATTAGTTGCCTCTTGTTTATTTTTTCTCTCGTGTATTTTTATATCTTATTTTATTCTTGATAATATGACAAAAAAAAAAAAAGATTGAATCATTGACATGCGAGCAGCAATGAATAACGAAACAGCAGCTGAACTGGGCAAACGACCCGTAATATTTTATATTCATGCATCGATTCTCTCATTCTGTCCCTCTTCTGCCGCTCTCTCTCTCTCTCTCTCTCTCTCTCTCTCTCTCTCATTCTCTGAGGTTGTATTTTTGGTGAGATTCTGTGTGTTTTTCTCTCGCAGCTGATAAAATTGAAACTTGACTGTTGTTTATTTGATTTCGTTATTTGTATTTTTTTTTTTTGTATCGGTTTTGAATTTAAGAACATTTCTAACATATTTTAAATGCGTTTTTTCCCCCATTTTTGTTTGTGTGTTACGAAACTCTCTAACAACAACAACAACAATAACAGCAAACACTCTCAACCGATTCTCTTAGTTAGCTTTTAGTGAACATCAACAACAACAACAACAACATCAACCAAAACAACAACAAGAAAAACGTTTGTAGACACACACACCACAACAACAAATTCAAACCAACCAATCCAACAAAGCAACCCAAACAAGAACAACAACAACAACCACCACCACCACCACCACCACCAACAAATTCAACAAATTTGTGGAAACATTTATCACGCGCAAATTGTTTGCCGTTTGCTCTTATCTCATTTCAGTTAAGGAGATTGGAAATGGTCGCTCACCATTACTGCAGGAGCCTCTTTACGGTACACGACCTCAGCCCTACAGTGAGTAGAAGGCGCCTATTCATTTGTAGTTTCTGTTTAGCTGACAAATGTTGTACCTACCCTTTTCCTCCATTCTTTTTTTTGTTGTTTTTCTTTCTCGTTTTATCAAACTTACCCCCAACCGACTACCTTTACCCATTTCCCCCCAAAATATCTACAGTGTGGTGTGTGTGTGTGTGTGTGTGTGTCGGACTTTGATTAGTTCATATATTTTAACTGTTTTGTATATTGAGTTTGTGTTTGGTTCTTTAGTGCAACGTGCGTAGGCTCGTAGGATCGTTTATTGAGGTAGGTGAAGTTACTTTCTTACTGTTTGATGACTTGACACTGTTTGGTTTGGTTTGGTTTGCTGAAACAATCATTATTGTTAGTACAGCACTTGTAATTATTGGCCAACAAAATTTACAAATTATTAAAATTGATTCTTAATTAGTCAGTAATTGCCTTATAATTACTAAGTGATTTCAGCATGATCCGAAGCAATTAGGCTTCTTATTACCATAAATTGTAAAATTATTCATATTCTGTAAGGTAATTACATACGTAATTCAGTTACTTTTCATGTCAAGTTGGAATTAGCTTCATAATTTCTTGTTCTCTGTTGGTCTTTCTACTTAGTTTCACATATTATACATGAGCATGGCTGCTGCTGTGCGCGACCCACATCTTTTGCTCAAGAAGTTCACATGCCATTTAGCAAATTGTCTACATAAATTCATTAGTATGTCAAATACAGAACTCTCCCACTCAAAGCGTCAAGGAGAAGTCTACTTGTCTGGAGTTATTTTTTTGTATTATTTTTTGTTTTTTGCATTTACCTGGTAAACTTTTCTAATTGTTGGCACTTGAGCGTGTCTCCTTCGGAAGGAAGGAAAAGAAAAAGCCCTCATAAAATTGCAATCATTACCATTTGTGGCCCCTTATCTACTTGTTTCTTTTAGCAAACTTTCCACGCGTGTGTGCGTGTGTGTGTGTAGATGACATGCGCGCAATTAAAAGAAATTAAGAGCTAACAAAATATTATACTAATTAACTTGGCCAAAACTGGAACTGTGCAAATCAACATTCGTACAGCACTCGACCCAATCCCAATCCCAATTCAGAGTTCAGACCTCGAACGAAATAAGATAATCCAACATCAGCAGACAACAGCAAAGATAATCGAAGCACACACGTTTTATATAGACGCTTAAACGTGACAATGCCCAGGACTACTCTTAAGTGAAAGTATTTGAACAGAGGGGTTGTTTTGGGCAGGAGGAGTGAGGGGCCAATAAGGGAGTGCAGAATTCGCTCACAATCCTCAAGTCAGTGGCATTTGCCGATTGGCTTCTGCCAAAGTGTGTCAAACACACGAGGCAATGGAAAAGCCAAACCCTAAAGCAAGAACAAACATTTTCCACATACACAGAGAGAGAGAGAGAGAGAGAGAGAGAGAGAGAGAGAGAGAGAGAGAGAGTGAGACTGAGGGAAAGAGAGCGCCTATTATTGCAAAAACATGTGTATTAATTTTCTCGTTGACTTTGTGGTCTGCCAACAGCTCCCAACGCCCATTCATTCATTTTTTTTTGCCTCAAATGTGGTAATCGATTTGCAGCGTTCTGTCTCCCTTTATATACATCTATATACATCTATATATATATATATGTTTATATATGTGTGTGTGTGTGTGCACGTGTGAAGTACAATTTTAATTGATTTTTTATGGCCCCAAAACACTTGAAATTCAATTGCATTCAAGCTGATTGTGAAATTTTGTGGCTTTCGACATGTGTGGCGCAACTAGGCAAATACCAAAACTAAATGCTTGTCCTACATTCATGTTATTATTTGAATATAACCCCATAATCGAATAATTTTTAATTTGGCAAAAACCTCCATAGAGTCTAGCCAATTCCCTAGACAATAATCTGAAAGTTTAAAGCATTTTTCACTCTTCTTGTACTCTTACAATTCCCAAAAGGGCTTGGCAGTCAACTTGTCAAATATGTTAAGCTACAATTTTTAGTTTAAGTTCAAGCTTAACTTTGTTGGACGACTTTGAAGCTAAGGAGGCTGACTCACTTATGACTTTAACCATTTTGCAATAGAAACTAGCACTTTTCGTATTCCCACAGCACATTTATCAACTAACTAATTTGCGCACTTATTATTTATTGATCGCAACAGAGTTTTCCAACTCAAGAAATGCCTTAGCAACTATATTTTGGTCGGGTTGTTTGTGCATTGAGCCAAGGCCATGAAATAATAATAATATTAAAAAAGAAAAACAGCACCAAGGCAGCGCCTCGAGGCCTCACCTAGTTTCAACTTTTGCATTATCAAAAAATCGCAAAACTATAAACTAGAAACGGCAAGACGACCGCCAACCCAACACAAACCTGCCCCACCCCCACGTTGAACCCCGCCCCCCTGCCTAGAAAGTTGTGTTAGATGCCTTTAGGCGCGACGTTCGTTTGTTGATAATTTTCTTAGCCTTGATGTTTTAATTTGTGCGTAAATATAATTTTAAAGCATTGCTTTGGAAACTTTGCTTGCTGTGCTAACTTTGCTGTTGTCTCTCGGTGGTTGATTTTGTTGGTTGGCTGTTTGTTTGCTGCTGTTGTTTGCGCTTTGGGGACACCACAATCTCTTGATGCAAAAAGATTATGGCAAAAATCCATCTCTGACTGCCGCTTGGCTGATGCTGCTGCTTTTAATTGCATTGCATACGCAAAAGTTGGGCTAAAGTTCTTCTTGCCGTTGGTTTTAATTAGTGCTGTGGGGTTTCAACCATATCTATGTGCAGATATCTGTATCTTTCAACTCTCTATAGTAGCCTGTAGTTGTTTGTATCCAAGGAACTTAAATAAAGCTCCCCCATGTCAAGTATTTGTTGCTTTCTGAGGCGCTCTTTTCCTTTTTACACTGTGCGGGGAGTTGTGCAAAAGTTTTGCTTAGCTTTTGTATTTGTTGTTGTTGTTGTTGATTTGGCTCATCTTTTGCTTGGTGGATTTATTTTGCTAGATAGTAGTAGCCAAGCGTAAAAGTTTTAGAAAGCAAATTTTCCTCAATGATTGTATTTGTGTGTGATAATTGGCTAAGGTCAAAGTTTCCACGCCACCCCCTTCCCCGCCCGAAAGGAGTCAAATTCAATTGATTTACCCAACCCTTTCTTGTCTCTTTTTATTTACGATTCGCCTGGACAGCGAGTTTTCAAAGTTTTTGAAAAAAAATAAAGAATCCATTGAATGCGGTCTTTCCATTCCCCATTTTTGCTGTTGCCGTTGTTTGTTTTGGCTTCGATTGGTTTGGCGTTTGTTTTTTGTCTCTCAGTGCTGCTTTTTTCACCTGCCTGGGGTTAAATGCTTGTGGTCTTCGCTTCGGTTTTGGTGTAGTTTTCCAGCAAAACTCTCGTAATGTTTCCCTAGCGGGTGCGCTTGAGTGGAACAACGTAGATTGTTATTCATGTAACATTTAATTGCTTGAAAGAAAGCTCAACACTTTAATTGGGTTTGTAGTGAGAAACACCAAATATGAAATTAAAAACCGAAGTTGAAAACGAACATTTCCCCCAGTTGTTTGAATTTTAAATTTAAGGCATATATTTTACAAGTTTTTCAGATAGTTCTTGAAATATAGTTTGTTATATACAACTTTCACAGCTTGTACGGCATTTTAATTGTCTCATTTTTAAAGTCCACAACAACTTGAAAGCTTGCTAAATTCTAGCAGAAAACTCACTTGGCTTGTATCCCAGTCTCAAAGTTGTTCTTGCTTTCTAGATTCGATGCAGTAATGAATAAACATTTTTATTTTTACATTCTTTGGCTGGCAAATGACTTTGTGCATAGCTGATGCTTTTGTTGTTTGTTTTTCGGCCCCTCTCACGCCTAATCAGGGCATAAATATCAAGTTCTGGTCTCAGTTGCACTTACGACAATGTCGAGGCAGCTGCAGCTGCGGCAGGAAGTGGGAGTTGTTGTGGTGGCAGGGGCAGGAACAGGGGAATGGCAACGTCTTCTGGAGGATTGTGCTCGTCAAGTGAAATCTTTGGGGGCATTGTGTGTGCTGGCGCACTTTCTTTTGACCCGGCTGACTATCTTGGCCTAATAAGCATCCTTGGGGAAATTATGATGAGCAGAATTCAATTTCGTGTTTAATTTGCCAGTGAATCCGTTTCTTTTTGAATTCACTTTAGTGTCTTCCTCCACTTTACTCGAAACTTGCAACAATTTTTTCTTACAAGTTTTCGACTTTTCGTTTGTTTTTCGTTGACTACTTGGCTACTTTTTGTGGTCTCTCGCTGCTTCTCTTTGTTTAGGCCAACAAATGTTTTTTTTATTGCCTTCTTGCTTTGTTGCCTTGTTGCCTTCTTGCTGTCTTTTACTTTTCACTTCTGCTCCTTGGCTTTTGCTTATAAAAAAATGTAAATCCGCCTTGCTTTTGTTTTGTTTTGTTTTTCTTTGTTATTATACAAATAAATTTCAATGTAGTACTTATTATTTGGCGCTGGCTGCATTTGTTGCCTTTTGGCCTTTTTCTCAGCCACTCTTAACCACAATAAGCGCACCTCATCATTATTTGCTGTAGAACATTTCTGCAGCATTTTTTAATTTAACCACAAAGTTTTCCGTATATATTATATACACATTTTTTGTTGTTGCTCGCAAATGAAATGCGAAAGTGATTTTTTTTATATTACAATTTATATTTTTTTTTGTTTTGATTTTTTTCTTCATCTGTTGTAGTATGAAAAGTTTTTGTTTTTTAATCTGCTTGACTGTTAACTTTCCATTTTTGTGGTTCTTCTTTGCATATACTCATCAAAAAGGTTAATTAAATTTTATTTGTTCTCGTTCGTTGCGCATTTAATATGCGTAAAGTTGCCAAAAACTTAATTAGACTGCATTAAAATGCACCGAGCCAAAGATGCGAACAGTTAGCTGCTGGATACTTTCTTTTTCTTTTTCATTTTGGCTCCCCCTTGCAAAGGGAATTATCTTTGACGGCTTTGGGGG